TATCTAATCAGCGGCGCGTTATTACCACGGACTAACGAAAATGGCGCGTGTATTAGTCGGCGCAGAAATAACGACCTCACTCTCAGACTGCGTTTCTACGTCTTTTCACGTTTTACGCTTGTAACACGTTTATCGCTTGTACCTGCTTGTTATCACTGAATAGATAAGTTGAAACTAATTCTCTTATCTTTGATGAAATTTGTAAAATAAAAGAGAGATCAAATTTCGATTTGAATATTCAAATGTCAGACTGATTCTTATAATCTTATCGAAGATTAAGAATTATACTTTGGACTTGAGATGGGGGATTAACGGTGGTATAATTTTGATTTGATATATCTAAATGATGCGGTCTGTTTGTATTTCTTGGAGACAGTAAAAAATTTTTGTAACAGTTCTTTAGAAACAGAGTTCAAAAGATAAACGACAAGAAACAGTCCATAATTTTCTAAAACGGAATTATATTTGACAAGAATAGACGAATGGATGATTGTTGTTAATATTGACAAAATTAACGTACACATATATCATAATATAGACGATTTTAAACTTTCATTTGTCCCTTACCGTCATTTCAAAACAAGTTATTAGTAGTTCCGCACAGAGTTGAACGTGAAATGAAATAAACGATAATCATAATTCGTGGCTTTGATAATCTTACATTGCTACAACGATACGTGATACTATCCAATTTCAACCTTCGTTCGATTTATAATAATGAAAAAGATAAAAACCAAAGAACCCTATCGTCTGCCCTTCGTATCATCCAATGGCAATTAAACCAACGTCGATTTCACATTTCGCAATATCACGCCGGTTCCAATATCTACCTTCTCGTCTTAATCAGCCCAGTATCACTGACCGATTCGATAGGGGGCGATCGAGCAATCGATGGAATTTCTCGACGTCGATAACGAGGGGTTCCTATGCACAGGGATTGATTGTTGCTCGTTCATGGGAGCGAACCAGGCTACTTCATTTAAAGTAGAGTGTCACGCGGATAGCCGAAATTAGGGTTATAATCCCCCCTCGTGCCATCTGATACGCGTCTCCCTCGGCCTCGTCCCTGTGCTCGTTCTACTCGCTATTTACCGATAGTATTTTAACCCTCGATTTGTCGTCAACAGCTTTCGGGAGCCCATTGGGAATCTGGCCGCTTAGTTTTTGCGCGGCAGCCGCGGGAACGACATGTGCCGATTATCGTTGCTAGACGCTCGGTACCGTAGCTGGGCGAATCTTCGCACGAGATATCGATAATTTGTTTCTTGCGTCACACGTAATTGCCATCGGCGTAATTGTCACGTACGCGTATCGATAGCCGCGACGTTACGCCTAATAGCCGGTGGTTTCGTCCGTTTCGACTCGCATCACCGAGAAACGCGAGATCTCGTCAATGATAAATGATATTCAATAAATAGTTCCGCTTATGCTTCCTGGCGACCAGCTGTAAATCTTCGCCCGTGTCCTCGCGGCGTTTCCCCGTTTCTTCCAACGCTTCCTCTCACGATGCGAGTTTAACCGATTGATCGAGATTCCGAGATTGATATCGCCCGTTCGGATTATTTATTTCTGTAAATGATAGCTTGCGTGGAACGTTGACTCTGGGCAGGGAACGAGTTATGATGGTAGTTTCGAAAAAATGTTAATCTTGGTAAACTTGTATCGCATGTTTAGCTTATTATCATGTATTATACCGTTCTGTTGCGTTCTCGTACAGATTTTTGTACTCCATTCGTCTGCGTTTTATTTTGTCAGACTTTGCGTAGAATTTGATTTTTATTATTTTGGAAAAGAGTCCTATGTTGTAAAGTAAGTCGTTAAAAACGGAGCTATACGCGTGTAGGATTGATTCGAAGCTGATATCTACCATAAACAGAATCATACGTCAAAAGATTGATACTATAATTAGATATCAATCGTTCGATATATTTTAAGGTATCAACTTCGATTACGTTCAAAGAATTCTACTATTCTTTCATTTTATCAGCCACTCTATTTAATTGCAGAAATGTGTTAAACAAAGAAAGTTTCTCCTTTTATTTCTACCACGATGTTTCTCGGAATTTGAATTGCATCTAAATCTAAAATTTTCAAAAGACGCAACACCACAAACGAATACCGTCAGTCCGAATGTTTAATATGTTTTCAATATATCCTCTATTCGTCACTAACAAGTCAAAAGGAACATGAAAGTTCTTCGAGTTTCACCGCAATTTGGTAATGTTATCCTGCATGATACGTGACAAGGTATACCGGCACACCGTACACAGGTGGAATATGCAAAAGGAATACGGAGGAACGATTCGAAACGACGACCAGGAGGAGAACAAAGAGAACGTCACGGTTGATATGACCCTAAGCGGGTATCGATCGTCGTTCTTTCTGGCGGAGCGAGCGCAACCAGCCAGGATATTTTGATAATTCCCTTTTTTGAACGCGATACTCCGCAGCGTGTAATGCGGAAGAGATCAAAGGCGTCAGTAGCACCTGTCCTCTAACCCCCGTCTTGTCATCCAGTAGAATTACGCCAGGAGGCTGGGGATCCCAACGGATTCTCTCTCTTTCCCTGCCCACGCTTTCTTCCCTTTCTCTGCCTTCCCCTCTCTACTTCGCTCCAAATTCTCCTCCGCATGAAATTTTTCTTTCGCTTTCTCTCTACGTCTATTATCGTCTACCATCCCTTTGTCGTCCCTCTTTCTCGATTCTTTCCTCCGATTCTTCGCCCACTGTTTCTTCTCTCTTTTATCCTTCGCTCCACCCTTCCTTCGATCCAACGGATTGTTCGTTTCCGTTTGTTCGTATCTGTACGCGCAATGGTTTGATCAGTCTTTCCGAACGAGAGAAAGAGAGAGAAAGGGGTAGTGATTGTCTTCGTTTGGTGTACTCCACGTCCCTACCTGGATTAAACTACAATTATTTTTATTGAATGACCCGGAGCTCCTGTTGGCTGTGCTTGTCCACCATTCGCGATTCTTTCATTTGCAAACCCTCTGTGAGATCAGTCGCCATCTCGTCCAGTTCTCATTTACACTTTTGTTAAAAGATCTGGACGATCGATTTTAACGAAGTTTGGATAAAATGGGAGGGGAAACAGGAAAACAGGCGATTAAAGAACAAGTTTGTAATGTAGATTACTGATTCGAAGTAGATTTGGAGGACATTTAGAATCGTAGAATGATGTTCGATTCTCGTGAGTCACTGATGAAGCAACATGTATAAAATATTTGCAGTTTTAAAATAAATCGTGATATCTGAGAAATGATTTATTTTAGGATTGATCGAAGATTGGTGCAAAGACCGATTAAGTCTAGATTTCGAAAGCTGTGAGAAATTAAGAAACACTGAATTATACCTATGAAGAGTTACGTTTTGATTTTTATACCAAAATGTCATTTTGAAAGTAGTAAATTTCTGAAGAATAAATCTAGAAATTTTAGAAAAAAGTCTGGGAAAGCTCTAAATATAGAAGATTCTTCTTTCCAAAGTAAATCCAAAAGTTCGGGCTTTAAATTATTCCACGAAGAAGAAGATCTTAATCATTTATTAATTCTTCAATTTTTTAATTAAACACTTGGGCTCAACATTCGCGTGTTGACGCACGGTCGTATGGAAGTTCGTGTTTCTCTCAGCCTATGAAACGCGTTAGTCGGTCGAATCAGTAGAAACGGATGAAAAGACCCGGCATTTGGCGAACGGACCTCGCTCGATAACGCTCGCACGCGGCTGGATAATAAGTTTGGCGTGTATCCCTTTCACGTCGGGAATTGCGAAGCGGGCTCGCATTCAGTTTCACCAGACAAGATCTCCTGTGTCATCCGCGAGACAACAGCGCGGGATTCACCGTACGTCTTGTGTGCCAACATTTGCACAGCGCATCGACAAAGACGTCGGCAGGAGAGTTGGGTGGGGAAGGGGAGGGGGGGGGGGGGGGGACGATTCACGGTGCCACCAACTCGATGCACCGACGAGTTCAAATAACTTCAGCGAGCATAAGTCATCCGTAAGGCCCGAGGCCCCGCGGCCGGGGCTACCCTAGAATTATCGCTAAACGTTATTGCTTAGCCTCCATAGATCTTGCGTATAAAATGCTAGGTTATCCTTGCCGTTTATGTGTGGTTAGAGAGAAGCGAGGGTGGATCTATGTCGGCCTGGGTCGAGTCTAGAATTTCGTTGAACCGCTTTTCGTTTAACCGTTTGGATCCCTCGCGGATTTCGGCGATCCTCTCCTCGCCATGCTTTCAACTGTTCTTAAGCTATTTCTTAAGCTCGTCCCATTTCATTTAGAGTGTTTCAGGGTTATGGCTAGCGTCCGGCGTACGCGCGGCTAGGTATTATTGATTTTAACGAACTCGCGAGGAGCAGGAAGTAGGTATCGTCGGTACGTCTCGTCCCCCCCTCTCCCCCTCCCCCCGAGTTATCGATAATATTTGTTTTGCCATTTTTACATGTCGTTTCGCGGAACGGCAAATATTTAGGTACGCGGAAAAAATTCCGCCAGCACAGGCAGTTTTCGTTGCTCCTCCGCGTTGGACTTCCGGCGGCTCTAAATTCGCAACAGAGGCGAGCAATTAATGCCCTTAAACGCGTTAAACGATCGCGTCTCATCGTTATCTGCTTCGTGGCTCGTTCTCGTCGTTCCCTGGCAAATGATATAAAGCACGGGAACGCTTTGGATCCCGGCCGCGAGACATTAACTCGTTTTTTCACCTTGCCCTCTCGTTTTTTTCCTCTTTTTTTTCCGGAAGCACGTAAAGGGACGATAGAAATTCACAGGAACGAACGAAGAGAACACGAAAGCGCAGCGACGCCAGAGACGCCAGAGACGGAGAGAAAGAGAGAGAGAGAGAAGGAGAGAGAGAGAGAGAGAGAGAGAGAGAAAGGAAACGTATACCAAACGAAACAGGTCGCTTTGTTGTTAAACGACAGGAGTTGGAGGATATAATTCACCGTTGTAACAGACTTTGAGCACCGTTACGTACAAAGATCAAAGCCGGCTAAACCGTCCGAACTCCGTGCCAGCCAGAACCATGATATTTTGACGTATTTAATGTTCGTTTCTTGTTAAATGCTGCGTTGATATTAACCGAGCGGGCGTGCGTTAGTAATTCAACTATCTCTATCTCTCGGCCTCCGTAATGATACGTTGCGCCGGAGAATCGTTTCTATCGATCTAGCGTAACAAAAGTCTATTGACATTTCTGCGAAACTCGTGGCGAGAGATTCCGCGCGAGTTATCGCGCGTTGCGACAGCTTCGGAGAATTTTCTATGAGAATGCAGTTTCGACAGAAATCGTAGAGTTCATTCAAAGCGCTGGGATTAATAATAACGAACGTAGATAATTGTAGTGGTAGGTCGTTCGTCATTTCTTCGTTATCGTCATCACGACATGTTGGACTGGTTTTTCTATGAAAACATTTTTGTTTTCAGTATCTTAATGCATCGATAAATTGTTATTTTTATGATTGACTGATAACAATACATGTACTTGTGCTATCACAGAAATTTCGTTGTTCTCAATTTGTTCGCGGAATTGCAAGAGATTTCCTCCATCTTCATTTTGCTGTAATTAAGTAAACTCGAGCTCGAACTGTATGTGTTAAACTTTGCAAACAGTACGGACGACTGTTCGTGTTGCAATATTATCAGTTTGCGTGTCCCAAAATAGAAGTATTAATCAATTACGTAGTAACGTCGTACCAATAATTTACCCACGGTGGTAAGATAGAAAGGGGTTTCTCATGGGATATATGAACGCTGTAACCGAGGAAGACATTCTGAGTGATTGTGGTTGCGGCGATCTTGACATCTTCCGGAAATCCTCGCCGCTCTTCATCTACATTTATTTAAGAACAGATTTATTTTACGTACACCTTATGACGTTGGTCGAAAGCATCAGTCGATTTTCAATTCGTCGAAAACTTCGAAGAACAAGAATTGAAACGAATTGCAATTCGTTTATTAGCTTCTGTGAAAATCGTATCGCGTATTATTAAAGCTTAAAAATTGTTATGAAAATGATTTTTTCAGCTTGTTAAAAAATGCTGACTTGTTCGTTTAGTAATAGTTTGTTTTTAAGAAAAAATTCAAAAAAGGTCGTAACAAATTAACACCGTAATATTTTCAACAAATGCGCGATTATCTTTCAATGTTACACGAATAAAAGTTTTCGGATTAATAACTTTTAAAACGTGTTGTTAATAGCTATATCTCGAGATACGCTTTGATACGCCTTTATACCGTTGTTCCCAGTTATCAAATAAAGTTATCAAAATTCATATTCCACAAGAAGGAGATTACCGCTCATAGATTTGCTTTGTGGTGCACTGGACTGTATGATTACCGAAGTTCGGAGGCTACAGTGGCCCAGACATCTCATGGGCACCATTCACTTTGGCGGACAAAGCTAGAACATGCTACATCGCTGTACATAGCTTTCGTGAAAATTTTGTGCTCAAAGATTCTCACGATTCTCGCTTGTTGTACCACCTGAACAACTGACGTCTAATCATTGTTGCTCCTGGTCTGTTTCCATGAATTTGGATTATCTTGAAGGCTGTCTGCCAACGAGGAAACGAAGATCCAAATACAACTAAATTATCTAATTATTCACATTACGATCGTGACGTTTCAATGTTTTTTGAACGGATGATCGTTTCTTTTTATAAAAATTGCTTATAAAATGCAATTTAAGTAAACGATTAATGACAATTATTTTCAGAAATATTACCTTGCAATATAGTAGAGATATAATATTGGTAAAACGTGTACCGTTAAAAACGTGACAATAATTTTGTTTCTAAAAGATATAGTAGTCTACAAGTAGCGATTATGACCAGTCTAAGTAAGTGTAGGTTAAGCGACTTCTGTCATCATTAAATCAATCGTGATTGAAACGGGGTCAGCTCCAAGGTACAAAAGGTGTATTCAGGTTCGACAAGTGATCCAATTTATGTCCAGTTGCATTTTACTTGTAACTCTATCCGTGCTACATAATCGCCACTTTCATTGTTAACGTTAACAATTTTGCATAAAAAATTTTGCTTTCGACTTGCCTGCCTCGTGAATTTTCTTTCTCGAAATTTGTACGTACGTACGTATATGCTTAAGCAACATTTGTCTAACTAAATCATCGAAAAATTGATGATTGATAACTGAAGCGTAATATAGTGTTAAGCGCTACGATTTTCGATTGTCGTAAAGCTTCAAGATATCGTTTTTTTTTTTTTTTTTTTTTAGCGATGAGATAGGGAAGCACGCGCGAAGGCGGTGATTTGCGATTTACTTACAACGAGAAGAAGGAAAATGTAAAATCAGGATTTTCGACAGATGGCCGGAATCTCAGACCTCGGGCCGTGAATACGCGGATAGCAAAGGGAGCGCCAGACCTCACGATTTTACGCCCCCGGGCGGACCGCCGATGGAAAAGTTGCGCTCTGAGTGCTCCGGCTTGCTTTTTTGCTCTGAGACATTCGTACTAGCTCGAAATTTTCGAAACATTTCCGTCGACGACGTTTTGTCCACCGTGTCTCGTTTCCCGCGCGCGCTCGTCTCGTTTCTCTTGTTAACAGAACGATTCTGACGATTCGATCGCTTTTCTGCATACGATCGGCGCTTACCTTTCTATTATGTAATGTTAAAACTGTGTCCCACTTCCACAATTTCCCTCCGATGCTTCGAACTCGCAGCGAACCTGTACAAATAGTAGGATATTTGGGTCAAAGTGAATTTAGCTTTTAACAACAGCTTTTAACAACTTTTATTTTTAAACATCGACGTACGGGTAGAACTGTTGAATGAGATTATTTTATTACTCTTTTTTTTTTTATCATTCTTTTGTACATTCCCACATGAAAATCTAGAGCGCTCTTTGATTCTCGCAGGAGACAAATTTCTTTGCACATTTTTCTGGGAGAAATCAGTACATTGTAATTACTGATTTTTAAATACAATTACACGATCAAAGTTGCAATACTGCTAAAAGAGTAATAGTAATAGTATAATAGTAAGAGCAAAATTATTTATTTACTTGAAGCAGTCATCATTTAATTAATTGCTTTGGCAATTTTCACTTGTTTTTCGAAATTCTGAATATTAAAAAGTAGACGATGAGTAAGTCAAACGTATCTTCGATCGCAACGACGAAATTCTCGAGTTTCTCCATCGTCTGCAGTGTCGGCCGCAGATTTTCGTTGGATTAATCGTCAAGAGAAACGGATCGTCAATTACCGGGGGAAAATTTTACAGATTCCAACCCGAGCGAATACAAAAGACGACACTCGGCCCCGCTCTCTTCGCCGTATTTATCTGAAATTATTAAAAGAAAAGCATTTTCCTTACGCTCCCGCAGTTTAAAACTTCTTCTTTTCAAGCTCCTTACGCTCGACCCCGCTTTCTCGTTGCTCGCGAGAGGAAATAAAAGGCTACCGACCCGTCGAGAAGGAGATACTGGTTATCCAAGCTTTAAAAGAGGAACTTCCCGCGATTCAAGCGACCGGTGGAACGATGTTTTTATACTTTAATTGCTAGAATTAGATCTACAGCGTGCGATTTATGGCGGAAAATTCATAAATTTCGTCACGTGAGTTCGAGTGAAACCGAAATCCAAGATTTGCAAATAATTTGATAATCACGTGAAAAACGTGTCTACATCTGTTGATATTTTCTCGGCGGGATATTTTCTTGGGAGGAGAATTTGATTATCTGCAAGCGCTGTTTACAATCTCTGAAACGGCAGTAGTCGTTTAAAAAGACGTTATTTGTACAAAAGTTAGTATTATAATTATACGGCAGAATAAGTAATTGAAAGATTTTACGGTACATAATAATGATGACACCTTTATTGTTTCAATAGATATTTTCATTTATTTACATTAACATTTGGGCAACAAAAGCGCCGTGAAAGTGTCCGCAACACATTTTGTCGTCGGCGATGATCGATTGAAAATAAAATGATTTATCACCGGTGCGCTTTTAATGGTGTTATTATAATCCATTATATCGGAGTCCTAGTATTTAGGTTCTGTCCCGTGCGCGCTAGTAAATCGTGACGCGTGGTCGCGCAAAACTGGTTCAACACAGCCGATAATATATCCAACGATACCGGATATTCTGCCTCAAATTTATGCGCGCCTTACGTTACATTTTGCATAAAATACGCTAACCGAATATTATCGAAGAAGTCGGGACTATAAACAAGGATACCTCGTGAATTATCATTTTAATAAACGAAGCGTGTACGTTTGCACGCTTGATTCGAACACTTGGTATAATTTGTCTCTGTGGGCGTGTTTATTGCGCGGAATTCGCAGACGTGTGGTAGCGGCTCTGTCTGATTTATGTAATACCTGAAATTTTCATTATACGCTTCTCTCCTTGAAGTTCGATTTCTCTCTACAAATATACTGTCGATTTTTATACAAATTTATATGTTTAGAAATATAATCAAAAAGAAATGGATAATAAAGTCTGGCTGGAAAATTTTATCTATCAAACAGTATATACGAAAATATTTTATATATCTTTTGTTCTTCAAAGTTTCCTATTAATGTACAAAAATTCGTAAATATAATTTAGATGTAATTTATTAAATCGTAAGCATCGGACTTCGTTCTCGACTTCTTTGTAAAAGTTTCTTCTTCTTTCTTTTTTTAACTTTTTTGCAATGTTTGGATTTGGCTGTACTCTGTAGTGGAAGATATTTATGAAATGCGATTAAAATTAGAGGGGTTTCCAAAATAGATAGGGAGGGGGGCGGGGGTTTCAAATCACAGCTAAAATTGGCATGGTCCCAAGTAATAGCGCATGTGGCGAATCGAACCGTTCATTTCAATTGCGATCGACAATGACCACTACATTGATATTATCCCGCGTATCGCCTTGGGCTGTGTAGAAAACTAAATTCATGGTTTTGAGCGGGAATTGAGTAAGAAGCGAGAGAAGTACCGCAAATGCCCTATTACACGTGCGTCAACATCAGGAGAATCATTCGGACTCCAATCTGAAATA